GGCGAAGTTCGATGGGTCTGCAGCCTTGCAGAGCGCCTGCTGCAAAAAGCATGGATGTGACATTTTTTTTTTTTAATATTTTTATTTCTAGGAGAGAGAGAGAGAGAGACAGCGTGAGCAGGGGAGGGTCAGAGAGAGAGGGAGTCACAGACTGAAACAGGCTGCAGGCTCTGAGCTGGCAGTCAGCGCAGAGCCCGACGCGGGGCTCGAACCCACGAACCGCGAGATCATGACCTGAGCGAAAGTCGGACGCTTAACCGACTGAGCCACCCAGGCGCCCCGTGACATTCTTACACCTGTTTTAGGGACTACCTTAAAGCATTCAAATATAGATTCAGGCACTTGTGACCTTCCTTTTGAGCTATTTAATAGGCAGATGACTGTTTTAAGATCCTATTGATCAGGATCTGCTTGGATCATGATAAACTAGGTCATGTTGCAACTGAAAACAGAAACCTCCCAGATCTCAGGCTACAGACGACCAGGCTCATAAGTCTGATGCTACATATCCAGAAACCTGTATCGGCTCAGGGACTGTCCACCGGCTTCAGGCACAGCTGGATCAAGCTATCCCAACGTGGTACTGAGGGATCTGCCCACGTGCTTCCGCCCAGCTCTGCTTTTCTCTGTGCTCAGGCCCGGCCTCCCGCAGACACCGCCCGCTCCATCCGTAGAACTCCAAGTCCGGGGGGAAAGCGATTTTTCTCTCCCACAAAAATCCCAGAAGTCACCTAACTGGAAAACTTGAGTTGTATACCCATCCCCGAACCAACTACTGGGAAGGAGGAGATGGAGGTGTACTGATTAGCCTGGAGCCCAGGGAGGGATTCGCTCCACCCGAATCATGTTGGGCTGACTGTGTCAAAGGAGTCGGCCTCCCGAGAAGAGTCGGGTACCGCTCCCAGACAAAGGGATGGGAACACACGCCCGAACAGCAGCTTCGAGTGTAAGGACCGAGACGGAAAACGCTGTGACGCCCTGCCTCCTTCAGGCCTTCCATATTCTAGAAGCTGACGCATTCCTACGTGCTCCCTTAATGGTTACAAGGAAGGGTTATTCAACTGTAATCAGTCATCCAACGAGCCAAAATCGAATGTGTTCTGTACTCCACAAACTCTGCCCTTGGATGGGAATACAAATTCCAATAAAAAACAGCGCCTGTCCTCAGAGAGCCCCTCAGGGTAAGGGCATTTGACGCAAAATTACAAATTACTGTCCCGCGTATTCTAAGAGGCATTAGATGTAGGAAGTGCCATGTGGTATTTGTTCTACGTTTTCCTGGCCATGGAACTTCTTTAGTTCCATTCTATTCTCACAAAGCGCCCCTTGAATCTAATTTTCAAAAGAGCCAGACTCTAGTAGTTTTCACGAGAACAAAGTTAGGTAAACACCCAGGCTTTAGAACCTACAGGTCAAAAGCCCAGAATGTGACCTCCTTGGTGTTACACTGTCAACCCAGGACTTAAACGGGACACGTATGTGGCATTTGAAGACTATGAAGGTTACCTCGAAGGCAGTTCTTGCTTTGTTTTTCCAAGCAAATAACCAAAGCCTCCGGGACACAACTGTTACACTGTCTTTGAGACGGAACTGCCAGCAATTTGCAGTCCCGTCTGCCAGTCGAGATGCTGCAGAACTTTCCAGTAAAGACTACCGTGTGCTGAAAGCAGGTGGTGCCAGGTGGGTACCCGTGTGGAACGAATACGAGGGCAGGGGTGACGTCAGCACGAGGGAGGCCTCAATGAGCCAAAGTGATTCCTTCCTCCTAAGTTTGTAATATCAGAGAGGAAGAATTTGTTCACAAGCGAAATTTGGAAGTGTTCCTAAGTGCACTCCAGTCTGGTGATAGTTCTTCTGCTACTTGACTAGGAATCCCTCTCAGGTAAGGAAGTGGACATTTAAGACGTAAAGAAGTTTTTGAAACATGGAGTCTAGTCTTTATTCCATTCAAGGAGCATTTATTGAGCACCTACAGTGTGCCCATGTCACGTTAGGCAACGTTTACGCACAGATCAATGTTACACAACACTTGGCCTAGACTCCCTGTCTACTGGAGATAAGGGTGTAAACAAATAGTTACAGCATTATGTCATTTATGCCGGAACAGGCTTTGACAAGGTGCTGGTGGACAGAGTTTGGGGTGAAGAGAGAGTAGAGGCGAAGTCTATTTAAGTGGATGCTTCAAAGATGCGGGGTAGTTCAGTAAACTGATGAGGTCAAGGAGGGTCCACAGAGCGAGAGGGAGAGAGAGAGCGAGAGCGAGAGGAATAAAGTATGCCCTGTACTGGGAACGTGAGGCAGCTCCTAGGGGCAGAGGGAAGCCACAGAAGGCTTTTGAACAAGGGAATGACATGATCAAAGAGGTGCCTCGGAAATCCCTCCGGTGATGTTAGGGAGGATTAGACAGGGGAAAGGGAGAGTTGGGAATGGCAACAGCAGCCAGGGAGGCTCCCGCGGGGTTCACACCAGACGTGAGGGTCGATGAGCTGGGAACAAGGGGCAGCTAGTTGCTGGTAACGTACAAAGGACAGGAGCTAGTGAATGGAAGGGGTGAGGAGAGAGGGGAGGGAAACGTCCCATACGAGTCCCAAGCTGGGCGGGGGGTTAGGGAGGAAGCGTACAGTCTCCGAAGGGTCCCGGCTACGTTTGATGATCTGTCACCATCTTGAAGTCATTAGTTTTTGAACAAAGGGCCCACGTGCTCCTTTCCGTTTGCGCTGGGGCCTGCATCTCCTATGGCCAGTCTTTTTCCCAGGCTCGTCTTGAGCCCGAGGTGGATCACGGTGCCAGTAACAGAAATTGGAAACAGAAGAACACATTTTGTTCTAGGACGGCTGGGTGCGGAGAGGAGCTCGGTTTTGCAACACAGGGACTGACGGCCGACAAAGGAGAGCTATTCATTGGGCTGTTAGAAATTGGATGTAAATTCCAAGCCAGGTACAAGCTCGAGTGTACAGATGGAGGGAGTGCCGAGGTGAGGGTGGTGGAGAGGCGGGTCGTGGAGGAGCGTGGTTCGAGGGAAGAGAAGCTGGAGACAATCTTTGGGAGCACCTATGTTTAAGGGAAAGAGAGAGGAGAGAGAAATGGGGGCGAGGGAGTCAGAGTCCCCTGGCGAAATTCTGGAAGGCTGTCCTGGAGGTCTGGGAAGAAAAGCCTTGAGAAGGGTGTGGTCGTGTGAGACGGGCCACAGGGCTCCGGAAGGGAAACGGCCGTTGCACTTGGCGGTGAGAGGCCGCGGCCATCACTGGGGCCAGTGGCGGAGACGGCAGCCCTCTTACGATGGGATGAAGGAGAAACCGAGGAAACAGATGTGTGAACTACCCTTTCAAGCACCTGGGCTAGGAAGTCAAAAAGAGACACGGAGTAGAGAGTATCTAGAATAAAGAAGGGTTTGGGTTTTTTCCCCTTAAGGTGGGAAAACAGAGCAGGCTTGCGTGTGAGAGCACTGTGCTTCGCAGGTCAGAGGAGGGCACGTGCTTCCAGAACGAAAGTACGTTCTGGGACAGGGAATGGAGACCAAGTCACCAGCGCGGTGGTCGGATGGCGAAGGCGTGTCCTATACTCTAGCCCCTGCACGTGTGTCTAAAAAGAAAACCCTAAAAAACCTACTCAACAAATCTGTTCCCTTTCTCAGTGATGTTTACTCCTGAGAATGAGGTGGTTGGGAAAACAGTGCTGCAGGTGAGTAACTCTTGGCAACCTTGGCGAATTGGAGAAGCCGGGGTGGGGTGGGGAGGGCTCGCCAACGAGCAGAACTGAGAGGTGCCTGCAGTGTGAACGGACGGAAACCTAATAAGCCACTTTGGCCCAGGGTGTTAAGGGCTGAACAAGGGGGAAAGCATTTGCCTGGGAATATTTTTTAATTAAGCTCTGAAGACCTTCCATTGCAACATTAAAGCCTCACAACAGCACCTGCTTCCTCTGTGTGCTCGGGGCTGCTTGCACCCTGGGGCAGCAGCAGGGCAAGCGCCGATTTGGTGACTAATTAATGCATCACCAAAACCTGAGGCTCCGGCCTTCCTCAGCAGAAAGGAGGCTTATAAACCCCCAAAGCAGCCTCGCTCTGCGGCCTAATGATTAAACTTTCCCCGGGCCCGATGTCCCTCCCGGCAGCGGAGGTAAAAGCTGACCGAGTAGCCACGTAAGCCCCTCTCCCCGGGGCAACGAGAAGCGAGCAACTCGCCCGACTGGGCATCCGCGCTGCCCTGACTCGGGGCGCCAGGGCGCAACCCCAGCCGCGGCTCCGCGCGTCCGCTGCCGGCCTCCCTCCCCGCCCCCGCCCGCCCCCCGGGGTGGGGCGCGCCCCCAGACGGTCCGCAGCGGGGCGCTTCGCGGGCGCGCGGGGGGAGGCTCGCTCGCGCCGGCACGCGTCCCGGCGAGGCGGGGGCTTCGCTCGCAGGCAGGCGGCGTCCCGAAACCCGAGCGGGGCGAAGCGGGCGGGTCGCACCGCGGCCCCGGGGCGGCGGGTCGCGACCCACGTGCGCGCAGAGGCGGCCGCGTCCCTCGCGTCGCCCGGTGACCGGAGCGCCGCCGCGTCGGGTCCGATGCGGGATCCCGGGTTCACCTCTTTGTAAGGAACAAGCCTGACAGGTCGACCCTCTTTCTCGGGTTAACCCGCCTTTCCCGGCGCCCCGGGCGGGAGTTTGCGGCCCGGGTACCTCCGTGACTCACCCCGTGCACAGGCGGACGCCCGAGGGCGCGCGGGAGGTCCCGCCGGGGTGGGGGTGGGGTGGGGTGGGGGCTCTCGCGGCGACCCCGACTCCTACCTCCGCCACCGGCCCGGACGCCCCCCGCCCCCCTGCCGGCGAGGCGCACCCCGGGGCGGCCCCGCGGCCCCCGCAGGCGCGGCCTGAAAACAAAGGAGGCGCCCCGGGCGGGTGGGACCCGGCCTCCCCTCCCCCCGCGGCCGCCCGCCCCCTCGGCCCCTGCCCTGCGTGTGCGCATGAGCGGAGGCGCCTCCCCGTCCCTCCCGAGGCCGAACTTTCTAATTCCCTTCTTTGGGCTCCGGGCCGCGGGGCGGAGGGCGCAGTGGCCGCGCGGTGCCCGCTGCCGTGGGAGCGGCGGGGACGGAGGGGCCCCCTCCTCTCTCTGAGCAGTCGCTCCTTCCAGCTCCTCGCCTCCACGTCTCCAGAAGGGGAGACGGAAAGCGGGGCGGCCGTGTCCCCCCGTCTCGTCCCCGCGCCGCGCACGGACTGGCCATGGGGCCGCTCCAGGTGTTCGCCTTCGGCTTCCTAGGTAATCGCGCCGCCGCGGTGTGTGTGGGGGGAGGGGACCCCACAGGCCGCCCGACCCGGCTTCGCGGGAGCCCGGGGGCGGGTGCCGGAGCGGCGCGGGGGAGGCGCGCCCCGGGAGTGAACGCGGGCGGCCGCGGGCTGCGCGCGGGGGTCACCGCGGACCCGCGTCCCGGAGGCTGCGCGCCCGGAGCCGGGGTCGGCGGCCCTGCCCGGGCTTTGCCCCTTTGGCCCGGGCGCGGAGGGTGTCCCCGCGGCGGGGGGCGGGGGAGGCCCGAGCCCCGGAGCCCTTCCCAGCCCGGCGCCGCGGCCGCGCGCAGGCTTAGCGCTGGGAACGGACCGGGGCCATGTGGCTTCAGAGAAACGCCGCGCTTTGCCCCCGGGGGGCGCCGGAAAGCCGCCGGCCGGGTGCGTCCCCGGAGCCACGGAGCCCCTGCGAAGCGGCAGGGCCCGGCCGCCCGCCCCCGTGCTCGCGAAAGCGGCGCCCCTGCGAGCCCCCCGCCTCGCCCGCAGCCGAGCGCCGGGACCCCGCGCGTGCGCGCACGTTCGTGACCCCGCGCGCGCAGATGTCCCCGCGCGCTCCGGGCTCACGCGGAAGGTGCACACCCCCCCCCACCGCCCGCGCGCACGTGGGCGCTTCCCCGCCAACTACGGGCACCTCGGGGTGGCCGGCAGGCACGTCTGCCTTCTGTGACCGGAGCCGCTGCCCGGGACGGATGTGGGTGGCGCGACTGTCCACGGGCCTCCCGAGAAGGGCGTTCTAGGCTGCTGCACACACTGGTGTCTTTCCGAGCCCGCTCCGCGGCCCGGCCTCCCCCGAGGCCACCCCCGCCCCCCCCAGCCCACCGCCTTCCCGCCCCGCCTGTCCGCTCTGCTCTGCGCGCTCCCGACCTGCGCTCCCCCCACCCCCGTGTGCCTGACCCT